CAATTTCACGTTCAGTCCACTATGAGTCTATGACTGTAGGTGCTGGCAAGGCTTGCTGCATTTTTTAGATAGTTCGATAGTTGGCGTTATTGATGAAAAACTACTGCCAAGGTTTTGTTGCATTTTTTTAGATAATATGATTATTGGTTTCTGTTGTCTTTTTTATAATTAGTTGTATTATATCATCCAAAAACTATACCACTGTACTCTTAGCAGCACCCTTGCTAAAATAGGTAGAGTTGAACTCAAGTATAAGAAAATCAAAATGGATAAAAGAAAAATTGTAGAAGTAGCTACAACCAAGAGATGAGCGGAAATAGAACTTATGGATTACAAATTAGCTGTGCTATAAATTAATCATTTTCATTCAACTATTTCATCAAGCATTTCTTAATTACTCTTACTATTACATCGTATTCACAAGTCACAACTACACTAGATTTTTTCTGAAAATGTACTTATGTGATGCTATTTGAGTTTCTTTTACGAATAGAATCTCATAAGCTCAAATTTTGGTTAACCTGAACGATTAGATGCAGATTATGTACTTAATTCTTTCTTTATTCTTCAAAGTTTTACAAGACCCCGGCCAATGGGCCGGGCCCAATACTAGTTGCTTGGATGTACAATTGTAAATTATTGGTATTTCAAATTTTATGACATTTTTATTAATTTTAAATTTTTTTTGTCACATACTACAATATTTTTTTGAAAATTTAATTTTTGGTACCCACAATTATTTTTTTTCCTATAACTAAAATTTTACAAATATGTTAAGAAATTTTAATAGTATAATCACATTTTAGTGCCTTGATATCTTTTGCCTTCACTACCGTACCCGGACTTCTAAAATTTTATATTTTAGTGCTTTTATATCTTTTGCATTCACTGCCAATACCCAGACTTTTACAATTTTAGAAACAAATCCTTATTATAGCTTTAAGAATTTTCAAATCACCCTACCAGAAATTGAAGAACAAGGATGATGATCGTACGAAACTGGGACTGTGGTGCAAAGAAATTTGGAAGTTAGCGTTGATGAATGAAGCTTTATCTGGTGTTTCGGTGGAATGGAGATTTGCTCAAAGGGGTTGCAACGGGCCTGATCATTGGCTAGCCCACTCTGTCTCTAAATGGGAGCATCAGGCTGTTTGGGTCAATGATCCACCCCTATCTTTGTTATATATGATGGGAGGCGAATTTGGGTCATGACCCTTGTAGCCTGAAATTTCAAATCATTAATATGTATATGAAATTTACAAATATACCCTAGACATATTTGACATCAACCATAAATTTTATACAAATACAACGCATGATATAGTGTTTGGAATCCAAATACCAAATAAAAAAACCTTCTAAATACCAAACCCCCAAGTCAAAATCCTTCCAAACACAACCTTACCCTCTGTTCGGGAATGAGAGAAAAGGGAGGTGAGGGGAAATGAGGAGGGGAAACACAGTTCCCAAAGAGTTTCACCCTGTTCTCCAAGCTTGGTACAGGAAGGAGGGGAGAGAAAATGAAAGGAAATGTTACTGTAGAACATGACCCTCCATTTTGGAGAGAAATGGAGAGAAACAAAGGTATGTTGTTGTTCTAACTTGCACGTTGGTTATGAATTTCTTTTTAGTTATTTTTATTATTGTTGTTGTAACCTTTTTGTTTTGTTTTTTACTTTCTTTTTTTTTTTGGAAACTTTTGTCTGATCATTAGTCTACTTGTTAATATAAATTAAAAAAATTAAATCAGTTTATATTTTGGTAAAGTGGTTAATTAATACAAAAGTAGCATGTATACAGATTTATAAAACAGTATCAAGGTTCTACAGAATAACAAAAATAGTTTCAACAAACTTATTTACGTTACGCATAATGCTTTCTAACGTATTAGTTTTAACAAAATTGATTTACGTCACACATAACGTTGTTTTACACGATCACGTATAATTGTTGAAGAAAAATTGACCAAATTAACATTGGATCGAACCAAACCGGATCAAATGGTTGATTTACCTCACGTATACCGTTGTTTTGCACAATACAGAAAACTATTATGTGAGATGTAAAAGTGTGACGTGCATTTTAAAAACGACATTAGAGTGAAATTTTTGTAGAAAGGATGTTGTATTGTAAAGCAGAGGTAACTCAATTTTTATGAGAAATTTTTTAATATAGTTAAAATGAACGAGATTTATATATGTGTGGTCACCTTATTTTAGACGAATTTATCTAGTGTATTAATCATTATGAATAATGTGTAGTCGCTTTATTTTAGCCGAATTGATATATGTCTAGTATTAGCAGATGGCCTATTTTTAGAAGGATATGTGTATGTGTAGTGTGATGTGATGTGTTATTTGTTTATGTTTTCAGTTGCTATGTTGATAAATCAACAAAACAACAAATAAATTTTAATAATAGGTTGACACTTTTTTTCAAATGAAGGGAAGTTTTGAGGGCTTTTTTAAAAAAATTTAATTATTGTTGTTGTTTAAATCAGTTTAATTTTAATTAAATAATAATTTGATTTATCGTAGTGTCTACGTGGCAGCCATATTTTTGCCACATTAGCAAAAGTTAGCAATGGTTTGACATCCGTCCGGTCAACCGTTATCTTTAATGATCAACTAAAATGTCTTGATATAAATAACACAAAAGTAGCATACGATGGGACATGATTGTCATATTGAAAGAATAGGACACAAGTGACATTTTTACGATAGTTCGAATGTTGTAGTGGTATTAGCCTAATTGTTTTCATAGAAATTAGTACCTAAATTTTATTCTTTTTATAAAGATGCTGGGAAATTTCTATGGTAAATTATATTTTAATACCTTTATATTATAATAGCTGAACTTTTAAAATTATACAAACAGATTACTTTGAGAAATTTTAAAACACTAATTATTAATATGTATTCGAATATGTAAACATCTATATGAATTTTAAAATATATATATGTATTTGAAAACCAACCAGTAAATTTGATAAAAAATATCATCTATAGTTAATCTATTTGAAAACCAACCAACTTGAGTTATTGAGACCAACTGGTTCATGACATGATATTAGAGTTGGTTTCTCCAAGTGATTGTGTGTTCGAATCTCCATAACCTTAAAAAAACCAACCACTAAATCTAAATCCTTAATACCAAAATCCGAAATCAAAATCTTTCCATACACACCCTTAATTATAACTCTCGTGCCAATTTGGGGGCTTTACATATCTACATTTACACATAATATAATACGCAGAAGGGAAAAAGGGGAGTCCCATTTCAAATTTCCTGCAACGAGAGTGAAAGTACGAAGGATATTTTGGTCTTTACAATTACTTATTTTTATTCATTAAAAAGACACGTAGTGGGATCCGAACCATGATTATTTTAAAGAAAAACAAGGATTATAACCAATCACACTAAGTACATTTGTTATATCTTTTTAAATTAAAAACATATAATAGTAGGAAGAAAAAAACCATTTCCCCATTTCAAATTCCCTGCTCCAGGAGCGTTTGTAGGAATGGTAGAATAGGGAGTGTCAATTTTTTTCTCTTTCCTCTGTGGAACGAGCCAAATTACCGTACACATGCAGATTTAAACGGGTCCAGGAATGTCATTTTTTTCATTGAGCCCTTTTATTTCTCCGTGCTGATATAATATATATGAAAAGGCAAAAAACAATACTTCTTTCTATTGCTAAAAATAAAAAAATTTAACAATAAACCAATGCATCGTATTTAATGGGATAACCGCTAACCATAAAATAAAAGAGTTGAATGGGCCTGACCTACACGGAATTTGGCCATCAAGTAAAAAAAATGAACATCATTGGTTTGAAATTCTAAAACAAGCTATTTTCTCTGACATATTATATATTAGGCTATTATTTTATATCTTAGTGGCTAAAATATCATGTATTTTAAAGTTATTCAATGGTTCAACCTCAACCAACCCAATTCGTCCAATTTTTATCATTTCAAATATATATTATATAATTATTTGATATCATAATGATCAAATTATAGTGTATTTTATGGGGAATCGTTTGGTATTTGTTAGTAAAAAACTAAACAGAAAGATCTATTTGATTATTTTAAACATTAAAACGATCCTAAAAATTTTCAGTTCCTTTTGAATTTCTATGGTTTTATTCCCGGATAAGTGATGTGCAAATGGCGAATTGCAGTCATCTCTTTTCTTTCACTATTTTTTATTTTCAAATAGAAAGTTTAAAAGTAAAGAATAATTAGAATTTGGCATGAGTCGGTCAAACAGGCTGAATTTCAAGTTTTGCCCGTTTTGATCAAGTCTAATTTATAATTACATGGTTCCCTGATACCCGATAAAAATCTCAATCCAAACCAGTTTGGCAGGTGGGTCCGTGTTTACCACCATTTTCTAGGGATACGACAATGGCGGTTCCTATCCCAAATCGTGTTGATCGTTCTTGATTTCCTTAGATTTTATCATGGTCTGACAAAAACCAGAAAGTACAATGCCGACAAGATGAAAGTTTTATAAAGCAAATTAATCGGCCAACAGGCCGAGTAAAAGCTAGCAACGATTGTGAGATGCTCATTTCCCGAAAACCGAAGGGATAGACAATTTTTTATTCGATTTTCTGGAATTCGGGTTCTATAAAACTTACTCCACCTCATCATATTACCAGAAACAATATTGTTTGACAAGGTAACAGGTACTTGATTTTAGTTCATAAGGCCGATTTTTTATTTGTTGCACCATTCATGTCTCTTTCCTGTTAAAATTCACTATTTTTATCACGTGTTTCCCAAAAAAACTATACAACAATAAGCTATACACCCCATTATATTATGTCATTATCAAATTTCATACCTCACCTTCCTCCGGCCAACTGGCCGGGACCCACGCTAGTTTAATTCTAAAAATTGATAAGTCAAAAAACGCTTTTATGCATGCAACAAGGAGATCCTAATTATTATTATTATATAAATAGCGCCTAATTGGTATTAGGGGTTCAGTGAGAAATGGGCGGGTTTACAATAAGTACCATGCAGCCACGCGGATCACCGTCCATATATTATTAGACTTAATCTCCACCGTCATTCAAGGCCTTGCTCCTTCTCCACGGGTCTCTCCACCTTCTTCCCTCCTCCCCGCCATTCTCCAATCCTCTCACTCTTCTATCCCCTCGTGGCGATCGGATGGCGGCTACGCAAGTGACAACGTTTGTCGTCTTCAATTGACTCAAAGAAGAAATGGTATGCTGGGATTTCGAGGGATCATTGGTTGTCGGCTGGGATCTCCTTCTCCCCATTCCGATCCCAGTCTCCACCTCCGTCAGCCAAGACGATGGCCGACCTTCTCCCTCTCCTCCCGGCATTTCTCTGATCTCACACGACGTTTGGATGGAGGCTAGGCAAGTTCACGAACCTTTGTCGTCTTCAATTGAATCAAAGAAGAAGGGGGAAGGTGAGATTTTTAGGGATCGATCACCGAAGAAATTGGCTGAGATCCCCTTCTGCCCACTCCGATCCATTTCTCCACCTTAGTCAGCCAAGACGATGGCAATTGGGTCCTAAAATCTCCCCTTCTCATTCCATTCCGCGCTGTACCTCAATTTATTCCCCCATGTCTCATTTTGTTCCGCCGTCCCCACCTCAGTTGATTCCCCCATGTCTTATTTATATAAACCTATAGACCAGTTGAAGCCAATGGTGGCGATTTGGGAGATGAACGTCTTCATTAGTTAGCCAAGAGTAGAAGAGAAAGAGAAATCGGTAATGTCAAATCCCACACTTGAGAATTGTTTTTCCACTCAATCTGAATTCTTTGTGAATTGCTTTACTTGGGCCTTTCTGGCATAACCATCTTCCATTTTGATGAATTATTAGTTATTTAGTTGTTACAATTTGATTGTGCTTGGTGAGATTCCATCAACATTAGTGTCACAGCTGCTATCAAGAAAATCATTTTGATAGTTCATGGCCTTGGTTCTGTAGTTTCTTTGACAATAATGTGTGAGTTCATTTGATTTTGTTTGATCAAGAAGGCATAGCTTTACTTTAGCAAAATCATTTTGATAGTTCATCGCCTTGGTTCTGTAGTTTCTTTGACAATAATGTGTGAGTTCATTTGATTTTGTTTGATCAAGAAGGCATAGCTTTACTTTGGAAAATCCCCAGATGGCGCAAAGGTAGTTTGAATTAATTCAAACGATGAGGTAGCCAGATGGTGCAGTTAAGGGATTCTAAAGCGTGTTTTTAGGCTGCAATTTTAAGTACCAGCTTGCCATTTTTTCAATTTGATTGTTGTGCTTTGGACTTCTTCCTTTAGCTTTGCCTCTCCTATTTTGTAAGCCATTTGTCTGTTGATTTCGAAAGGCACTCTTGATGTTCCTTGGGTTGTATGATAGGCTAACTTTTGGTTTTACAAGTTCCATAATTCCAAGATTATACTACTTGAATAGATCGAGATTGATAGCCATATGGTGATCATAACTCAATAAATCAGCAAATTGTATATGTTTACATTTCAGGTAACAAGATTTTCACTTTGTTCTCTGTTTCAGAGTTTGATTTCATTATAACTCAAAATTTATAACAGGAACAGAATCTTAGGAGGTAAGCAGGCTGGCAAGGATATAATTGGGATCAGAAACAGCCGAAAACTCTATCTCAGGCGGAAAGCAGTCTTGGGGGTGTGGCTATGCTTGGGAAGTAAGTGATTGTGGGTGTGGTTGAGCACAACACTAGAGCAACATCACTTCGGCGGCAGCCTACAGAACCACCAAGCAAGTTTAAGTTTGAAGATGTCACTACTTCCTCTTTGGATTTTTGCTCTAAAAGCCTTGAGTTCTGCAATTTTGAAACACTGGGACAACGTGCAGGGTCTAGAGGAACCATTAACGAGCCTTTAATTCCTGCACTCAGTACTGACTATTTATTTGCTCATGGAACTATTAATGGGGGAGATTTGTTTTATATTTGTTTTCCTTTAATCTCTGTACTCAATATTGACTATTTGCTCAAAACTAGATGTTATTGGCTGGTTACTTGCAATGGAGACACCACTAAGCAAACGTTAACACTATTAAACGAAAGGTAATCTAATTCAGTTAGTTATTTGAACCTTTACAATATAAAATTAGCCTACCTACAACCTTAGAGCAAAGGAATTTGTATATGCTGCTCAAACCTCCACTGTCATTGTTGCCATAGGAGGCCTAATGGTTTCGTCTATTCAAGGTAACACATTAAACTTCACTTCAGATTAATTTTACTTTAACAAGAGTTGTTAAGATACTTTTACACCTACATATCTGAAACTGCAAAATTGAGACTTATATGGTTGAAATTGGTTGTATTATACTGATTCAACAACTAATATACTGCAAAATTGAGACTTATATGGTTTAAATTGGTTGTATTATACTGATTCAACAACTAATAATGGTTTATGGTTATTAAGTTCATAGATGGAATCAGAGATAATTTAGAATATTGTTTTATGTAGTTTGCGATTTAGCTAGTTTTATCCAATTGCAGCAACACCAACGAACTGTTGAACACCTTACAAGTTTCAGGTCCGAATCATTGCAACAAGTCATAAAAGTCACTTTGGGGCAAAAGCAACGCGACCCAGACCAAAAATTCACAGCAAAATAACCTCACAACCAAACCAGAATTTACAGCAGAACAGGCAAAAAGATCATGCACACACTACAAGACCTCCCAGTTCCCTCCTTTATCCACACTTGACTTGAGATCATATAGACCGACAGACACAAAGACAACATAGAGTGGTTGGTTGAGAGTTGCTCATTTTTTTTCTCAAAACAGTTCTAGATCTCAACACCCACCAGGGATGTGATTTCTACTCAGCCATGACTTCGTCTTCATCATCAACAATCTCCTCTATCTTCAACTTCTTCACAGCCTGAGCAGCTTCTCTCCTTGGCTCATTCCCATTGGGAAGCTCTATCAGGATGTCAGCCTTCCGCCCAGTTGCAGCGTTCACTAAACCACCATTCATCTCAACTCGATAAGCCAAGCCCTTTCCACCAACTGCCGCATCTATGTACACGGTCGAGTTCTCGTTGATCTCCTCTCTCACCAGCATTCTGGATAGCTCTGTCACTACCCTCTTCTCCAGCCATCTCCGAATTGGACGTGCACCATATACCTGCAGAAAGAAGTTGGCCAGCCTTAGTATTCCGATCAACCAAAGCTAGGTACAAAGGAACCTTCCGTGTTCCGTAAGGTGTAGATATTGATACTTACAGGATCATAGCTCTCTGCAAGGACATAGTCCAGGGCAGCGTCAGTGACAGCTAAGGCAATACCCCGCTCGGCTAGCCTGACCGCAACATCCTTCATTTGCAGCCTAGCAACCTTCTTCAATTGATCATGTGAGAGAGGATCAAACACCACCACTTCATCTAGCCTGTTCAGCAGCTCTGGCCTGAAGTGCTTTCTAACCTGATAGAAGAAAATCAAAATGAAGCAAACTAGATTCAGTGAAGTTATCACTAAGGATTTTAAGACAAGGATTGCAAAAAAGCATTAGTGTTCTCAACATAGCAAGGGCGAGAGAACTGAAGTCGTTACCTCTTGCATTACTCTGTCCCTTGCAGCTTGCATTGGACATTTCCCCATCAAGCCAGACAAAAGATGTTCTGCTCCAAGGTTGGAGGTCATAATGATGACTGTGTTCCTGAAATCCACTGTGCGACCCTGGCCATCAGTCAACCTCCCATCGTCCAAGACTTGGAGTAGTGTGTTGAATACAGCAACATGAGCCTTTTCAACTTCGTCGAACAGAACAACACTGTAAGGCCTCCTCCTTACAGCTTCCGTCAGTTGGCCACCTTCCTCATGACCAACATAGCCCGGGGGAGCCCCAATGAGCCTGGAAACAGAATGCTGTTCCATGTACTCAGACATGTCAATCCGAACCATCTGATTCTCGTCGTCGAACAGTTGCTCAGCAAGAGCCTTTGCAAGTTCTGTCTTCCCCACGCCAGTGGGTCCCAAGAACAAGAAGGAGCCAGTCGGTTGCTGAGGTCTCCCGAGACCAGCCCTCGATCTCAGCACGGCTTCAGCAACAGCATCAACAGCATCATTCTGACCGACGACTCTCTGATGCAACCTGTCTCCGAGCCCTATCAGTCGCTCCTTATCATTCTGGCCAAGCCTTGTAACGGGAATGCCAGTCCACCGACTCACAACTTCTGCGATTTGTTCGGGTCCAACTGTCTCGGTCAGCATCAAATTGTTCCCCTCTGTGCTCCCTTCAAGTCGTGTTATGGCAGCCTCAACTTCCTCCAATGCTCCATATTTCAGATCTGCTACTCTGGCGAGATCTAATCTTCTCTCTGCCTCTTGAATGGAGAAATGTAATTCCTCCTTCTTCTGTTTCAGCCTCCGGATCTCATCAATCCTTTCTTTCTCCTTCTTGTACTTCATCATCAAAGGATGGAGCTTGTCCCTCAAGTCATCAAGCTCTTTCACAACCTACAGATAGTTAAGATCGTATTGCAATGCGTTAAGTGATCAAATACACCGAAACAAGCAATGGCATAAAAGTTTGAAATCAATAGCCGAATACACACCTCAGTGAGCCTAGCCTTACTGGCTTTATCTTTCTCCTTCTCGAGTGCATGGAGCTCAACCTCTAATTGGATCCTCTTCCTCTCCATATTGTCAATTTCTTCAGGTTGGCTGTCTAGCTGAACTCTTACGTTAGCACTCGCTTCATCTACCAGATCAATGGCCTTATCAGGCAAATGACGGCCTAAAACAGCACAAGCCAAGAACCCAGTCACACATCTTATTCCGCACACTTACAACTAAATGATAATCATTTTAAGACAAGAACATAGACAGGAAAACATTCACAAAATAGCAAAACAGAACCGCATACCTGTGATATAGCGACTAGAGAGTTGAGCTGCAACGACCAAGGCTCGATCTTGAATTCGGACACCATGATGACCCTCATACTTCTCCTTCAAGCCACGGAGAATGTTGATGGTGTCTGACACGCTAGGCTCGGCAACATAGACCTGCTGAAACCTCCTCTCGAACGCAGCATCTTTCTCCACATACTTCCTGTACTCCTCCAATGTGGTAGCTCCAATGCACCTCAGCTGCCCTCTAGCAAGCATGGGTTTGAACAAATTAGCGGCATCCATCGAGCCCTCCGTGCGACCAGCTCCAAGAACCAGATGAATTTCATCAATAAACAGAATCACTTTCCCTTCAGCTTCCTCGACTTCTTTCAGTACAGCCTTCAACCGTTCCTCAAACTCTCCCCTGTATTTAGCACCCGCAACCAAAGCTCCCATGTCCAACGCAATAAGCCTCACATCAGCGAGATTGCTTGGAACATCACCACGGACAACCCTCTGAGCCAAACCTTCAACAACGGCAGTTTTCCCCACCCCAGGCTCTCCAATGAGAACAGGGTTGTTCTTGGTTCTGCGAGACAGAATCCGAACCACCCTCCTAATCTCATCGTCCCTTCCAATCACAGGGTCTAGCTTCCCAGCTTGTTCCACGAGATCCCTACCATAAGTCTGCAACGCCTGAAATGTGGTGTCACCGGTGGCACTCTCGACCCTCTTCCCTTCTTTACCTCGCAGCTTCTCCACCTCGGACTTCACCTTGGCAGAAGCAATCCCAGCTTCCCTAAGCAAATCCCCAATTTGGGAATCCTCAAGAAGGCCAAGAACCAACTGATCAACGGCCAGATGGGTATCCCCACGAGACTTCATCAGGGCTTGGGCGCGCCTAATGACCTTAACGAGACTGGTGCTTGGAGGGACTTCATCAGGGGGCGGAGACTGAGAAGGGAGCTTCTTGAGAGCATGATTGAAAACCCTTTCCGCCGACTGGGCGGCCGCTTCGCCGGAGGCGGCATGGGCGATCGCCTGGCTGAGAATTGCGGCGGGGTCGGTGATGAGAGAGACGGCGAGGTGGATGGGAGTAATCTGGGCGTGGCCTGCTGTCAGTGCCAGCTCGTGGGCATTGGCAATCGCTTCGTTCGTCTTGTGGGTGAACTTTCCGGGATCCATAACTGAGGAAGTATAACCGCCTGCGGATTTTCTCTATCCCTCGGGTCGACTCGAGTTTGATGGGGAATGACTTTGCAAAAGGACGGAGAGTGAGCGAGCGAGCTTGTTTATTCGCGTGTTGTATCTGCGGAAATGGTTTGGGTTTCTTGATGATTATTCGGTGTTGAATTGAATTGGGGAATGGAAGCGGTGGCGGGGGAGATTTTGTTGAGGAGGGGGAGACGTCTGGAAGGGACGAGACAGGTGGCGCTGGAAACTACTAGAAGGAGTGGGGTGGGGACGCGGAATTAGAGAGTGATTTCTCGACTGAAGGAGTGGGGTTGCGGACGTGGAACCTTCTCGACTTGGCTAGAACGAGGGAAACTTCCTCACTCGCTCTCCATTTTGCGGTGTGCTACACGCCCCGCGAGTTCTACGATCTCTTGAACCAATTTTAGAGGGATTTTATTTGAAGTCCACAATTTATGTGATAAAAGAATTAAGGGCAATACCACTAGGGATGGCAATTTCGACCTGACCCGATTTACCCGACCTGTTTGACCTGTTTTGGGGTGGGTCAAACCCGCCCCGTAGGCGGGACGGGGCGGGCATGGGTACCTCTCATCAGCCCGACCTGCCCTGACCCGCCCCATTCTCAACCCGTTCTTGCCTAAATTACATATAGTATTAGTTAAATTACTTAAAATTTTCCTCTTATTACATTATATTTTAGCTATAATAAAGTTGTAAATAAGTGAAAACTTCAATTTCTTCAATAATTTAACTACATTTTTATCATATTATAGTTTCTTTCTTGGTCTTTCAATGAAAAGAACGAATATTTCTAATGTTTTTCACATAAATTACATACCCAATAGGTCGACCTGCCCCGACTCGCGCCCCGTGATAAATTACCCGACCTGGCCCGACCTGCCATGGGGCGGGTATGGGCATCGAGATACCCGCCCCTGACCTGCCCCATTGCCATTCCTAAATACCACTATAACATCCGAACTATCGACAAAATGTCATTTGTGTCTTATTTTTTTTTTAATATTCCATTTATATTCCTAACTATGATACTTTGTGCCATTTGTATCTTGGAGTTTCGTGACCGTTAAATATAACGTTTGACCAGACGGTTTTGAAGTTGACGTCAGATTGGGGCTGACATGACAGCAACCTGGCAGACATATTAATGCCACGTCAGACTTTTAATTAAAATAAATAATTAATTTCTACAAAAATAATCTCAAAATTTTTAAAAAAAAATCTATGGCCTCTCCGTTCTCTGTCGTCAACCATTCACCAGCAAAAACCCAAATCGCCAAGCGGTGGGGACCATCCTCCGCCTCTAAACAATCGGAGCCGGAGTCGATGCTCCCATGTTTCCCTGCCGCCGCAATCAATGAACTTCCTACATAATTAATCGTCATAGATCTAGACCTTTCTCTTTTCTACCTCTAGGGCTACCAATTCCTCTTCTCCATCGTCAATTCTCAATTACTAGAAGAGAGACGGGGAGGTCGTGGATTTTTCGGAGCCACTGCCGACGGAGGTAAGATGGGAAGGCCATCCATATGCTCTTTTGTGGCCGTCGCCGGCGAAGGAGGAAGAGAAGCGACGGGACGGCGGCAGTGGTGCTTAAGCCTTGGAGTGAAAACTCGTTGATGCAAGGTCGAGAAGACGGGTTATGGTGGCGGAATTCCAGCGATTGTTCCCATATCTTATCATCGTCGGCAACGATTCTTTTAGAGGTGGAGATGGTTCACCAACCAACCTTAAGGGGTTGGTTTTTTGACACCCCCTTTTAATTGGTCAATTTTTCATTAATTATTGACAAGTATTAATGAAAGTAAACATAATAAATGTTCTGTTATTAAATACAAAGTAAGCATTAAATACACCACATTAATTACCACTTTAATGGTATTTGTACCACTACAGTGGTACAACGTACCAGTAAAATGGTACAACGTACCAGTACAGTGGTACAACGTATCAGTGCAGTGGTATATCTACCAGTACAGTGGTACACCGTATCAGTGCAGTGGTATATTTTTTGAAGGTGGTCGGAGGGAGTCTGCCGATGGGATTTTCACCGGAGAAGTGTGGCGGTCGGAGGAAGTCTGGTGGTCGGAGACTGCTGAAAAAGGAAAAATCAAATATAGTGAGAGATTCCTGATGTGTATTTAATGTGTGTATTTAATTCCTAATGTGTATTTAATAGTGAGAGAATTCTTAATTAATATGGTACATTTAATTCCTAATGTGTATTTAATGTGTGTATTAATTATTGTGTATTAATTATAGTTGTATTTAATATATTAGGGGGTGTCATTTTTCCAACCCCTAAGGGGGGTTAGCATGCTAACCGACCCCATGGGTTGAAGGATGGATTGAAACCTCCTTTCAATCCGGCGCCGATAGAGAAGACCAAGTTGTGGGTCAATATTTATTTTTTATTTAAAATAAACTTTTGTTTAAATGTTTTTATAATGTTAAAAAATCCACACCAGATAACACATCAGCGGTCAATGAATTGACCATTGACTACTAACGGTCAAAGTTGATAAAGTAGACAGAAATGATAGTTCGCGACATAAATGGAATATTAAAAATAATAGGATACAAGTGATATTTTGGCGATAGTTCGGGTGTTGTAGTGGTAGTAGCCCAAGAATTAAAGACAATTTGGAGTCTCAAGGATGAGATTTGAGTTTCTGGGTTTGGAGACCATTTGGTTTTCCAATTTTCATCGGCGGACGTCTGCAATTAAGTGTTCAAGGGCGGACCATGGCTTTGCCAGGAGGTTATGATCTATCCACGCCGATGGGAATCATGTATTCAACCTCTGAAGATCGATAACTTAGCAGCCCCAATATGGATTAGGGTTTCGGAGATCCCAACATAATTGAAATTGAAGGAAGGACTGGGTCTTCTTGTTAATATTTAGAGAAACAACTATGTATGGATTTGCCTACGAGGAAGGGGGATATAGTGGGCAGTTCCATGGTTTGTGTAGAATTTCCTGAAACTTCTCTATTGATTGATCATATTAGCTTCATACCTGATGGTTTAGTGGAGATGTTTGTGTCAATAGAGTACTTGTCGTCTCCTTATGATTTGTTCTTCATATAAGTTGTTTGGTCATGATTGTTCTCCACAGGTGAGTGGTAATACGAAGAAATTTGGCTGGTAAAGAGGAAGAGAACAATTGAGCTGGTAACTAATTTAGGAGATGAGAAGGGCAACGAGGTTGTGACAGATGAGGGGCAAGATTGTAGTAGTATTTGGCAGAAAATTCCCAGGTTAGGGAGGTTGAAACTCTACCAATTACACCTAGAGCACTTATAACAATCGAGGACTTAAATATAATGGTGAATGGAGTGAAACTTAGAGCTGTGCAGTTCAATCACATATATTAGCGAAGTATTTTGCAGCCATTTGTGCCAAGCCACCAATGATCCTTAAACTAGTACCAACAAAAGCTGGTCGTGAAGTGGTGAGGGAGTTGCACATGCATCTCGTCTAAGTAAATGAGTTCGCTAATATGGTATGCAATGGCTCATTGAAGCAATATGCACTGCTTTAATATGTGGGCAGGAATCATATCCAATTACTTGTTGTGGTAGAAACTCGGGTTCAACAAATAAATGTGAAGATGATTAATGAAAAAATTGCAGAGTTTTAGTTTGTAGATAATTAAAGTTTGAACTCTTTGAGAATAATTTTGGTTGCATGGCATAATGGTGTTCAACTCGGAGTACTTGAGGAAGAGGAGTGCTACGTTTACATGTTAGTGTATGTTGATAATAGAGATCAAATGATGAATGAGAACGAGCAGCTATGTATAGAAAATTGAGTAGATGATGGTGTATGGATTTCTATGGACAGTTTGTGGTGACTTCAATGCTCTTTCTACATCCAAATGAGGCAGTACCTCTACTGCTCCAATAACTACAAGCATGGCTTCGTTTCGAGATTGGGTAGCTGGCATGGATTTGCTAGATCATAAAGTATTATGATCATTCTTTACTTGGTCCAATCAACAGAAAGGTAGGCAAATAGCAAGGGAATTAGATTGTGTGCTCGTGAATGAGGAGTGGATTATTGTAAATACAAGAATATCCTTACTATTTTCACTCTCATTACGAAAAATTTGAAATAGAAAAAATTAGAGAAAAGATTTAATTTTCCTGTTCCATGATCTTCAAAGCTAGCTTAGATTACCCTCAATAAGGTGGGGAAAAGAGGAAAAAGGTTAAAAAACAATGTTGTCAGAACCGAGCCGGAGCAAGAACCGATAACATGAACGGCTCGCACATTATTGGTCCAACTGGCATAAAACCGTTAAAAATCGTAAAAGAACCGTTACCTTATAATAATATCATAAGTAAAAGACATAATAATCTAACAATTTAATGACTATAATGAAATTTACTTTACATGTACTATTTAGTAATGTGACATTATATATAATCCCATTAAAAACTACCTCCCACCAATTTCAATACTCGCCGCCCTCTCCCAACCTCTCCTCTTACTTTTCCTCCTCTTCAGTTCTAAAACTCCTCCTTTTTACCAATGTTTCCGTTCCGCCATTTCCCCAACACGCCGTCAACGGAATAATTCAATTCCCATCATGCCTTTCATCGTGCCTTCACCGAGATGCCGGCGAGACCTTGTCCTTTCCCTTGCATTCAAGAGAAATAAACACGAACAAGGGGGGCAGAGAACTTCCTTGTTAGCCGTTTCTGGGTCGCCGTACGGAGATCTAAAAAGCTCGGCAAAGCGGCAGCACAGGGGAGGGCGACGACCTTCGACAGCACAAAAAAAGTTCAATTTTTTTAACATCAGGCGATTGGCTCAAAAACCGGTCAAGCGGTTTGAGCGACGTTTAACCGTTTTGGCCGCTCGCCGATCGGTCATTCTACCCGCTACGGTTTTAAAACTGACCCGAACCGGTTTTGCATTCGGGATGCTAGTTTTGCCGGTTGGACCGGTCAGCTCGGGTCGGTCTTAATAACACTGGTCTCATAATAGGGGAGGAAAAAATGAAAAAAATGGAAAAAAGAAAAAATGGTAGGGTTTTTCCTCCACTAGAAGACAAAAAGAGGAGGGAAAAATCCTACACATTTTTTTATGTTTTCTTTTTCTTTTCATTTTTTTATTGGTTTTGTTGTTTTGATTGGAGATTATTGTGAGTTATTGGCTAACGACATATTTTTCAACCTTCATATTTTTCAACTATTATATTTTCAATGACTAATTTTTTTGTCATTGATGATGTCATATTTAGTTAGTGATGTTAAAAAAATTATATCCAGATAAAAAAAATTGATATCGAAATGTTCATCTTAATTATTTATTATTACCTATATAAAAATAAAAATAATGAATAACTTATCTATATAAAGTGACGAGATCTACACTAAATTGATTTTGAAAAAAAAATGCACTTATCAATTACCCTCTTTTCCCTCCTAATCTATTGTGGACAAACTTTTTCCAAACTATGTTCCATGAAACTGTACCGTACCAATGGTTCAACCACGAAATACCAGTATCGGACGCTAAATCATTAGGTGGTATTTAACGGTCTAACGGTTGAATTACGGTTAAACCAAGATTTTATCATAAATATCATACCGCTGACTTTTCCGTTCCGATATCCGGTATGATTTCATGCTTAAGATAGGGTCAGTAACTAAATCTGTACCTTTGTCCGCTGTAACTGCAGCTTATTAAGGCAATTCATGATCATCCGAGATCGTGGCCATGGCGAGCGGCTGCGTGGATTGGCACGATCAGACAAATGTTGGATTCCAATCCTTTGATCCAGATCAAGCACATTGGTCGTAAGAACAACGCGAAAGCAAACTGGGTAGGTAGATCATGTGCCAAGAACTCTTTACCCCCTGAATGGGTTCAGGTTCTGGATGTTGTTTCATCCCTTTTGTAACACTTGGCTTTCTCAACAAGCAATGGAAATGCAGTGTCCTCTTGTAAAAAAAAAAACTAAATATGTACCTTTAGATCTAAGTGGACCCAAATTTTCTTAATTGGCTCTTATCTTCTTCGTTCTAACTCGGATTTTAATTTTTTCAAAGATGGAACAAGTTCGTTGTGCCGTTACCAACTACATACCATATGGTAACTTCTTCGTTTTTAAGTCATTTTTGAAAACATTTGCTCCGAAGGAACGAGTTCATCATGATCTATTGGATCTACAAAATTCTGGGTGAAAAAATACTGGATAAAAAATTACCATACTTTACCACTATGGTATGTGGGTGGTAACTTGCAGTAAACAATGATGAAAGTTGTAAATGACAGTTAGTATACTCCTATTATCATGTATTCAACCTTCTTACCATATTGGTATGTTCATATCATCATGGTACGCTTTCTTACCATATGGTATTAAATAGGAGCATACCATATGGTATTAAATAGGAGCATACCATATGGTAATGACTGGTAAAAAAATGACTCACTTTTTTTTGTATTTAAAATATATCAAAGTGTATATCATTTTAAAGAGCACATTTAATCTGATTTATGTGTACAAAAAAATTTAAATTTCGACTTAAAACGTGAGAGAAATCATCCGTTAAAAATTAAATGAAAAAAGATAAAAAAAAACTTTCCAGGAGAGAGAGAAATGCTGATATCATGCTGATGTGAACGGGTTACTCATAGTTACTCAACATAAGGTTACTGACCTGATCCGCTCCTAGATTTCATGAACCATGCTCCAAACAACTCAAATTTCCCTCTTTTAGTCTTTTCCTTTTAACCATTGTGGATGGTCTTATTGGCTAAGCGTTTAATTAATTTTTTTTGGGTTAATACCCTAGTTTGGCCCGAAGTTTAGCGTTAGTGACAGTTCTGGCCCCATTTTTCAAATAAGACATTTATGGCCTACTTTTGAAACTATTTGACAAATTTGGCCTAAAATTTTCTTTGACCGTTAATATTAACGATCAAACACTATTCTGTTAGTGATTCAGCAAAAAACCACTGATGTGGCATGCCACGTCATTAAAACATATTATTTTAATTTTATATTTAAATTAAAATAAAAATTAATAGAATAAAAAATCCTCTTATGAACCCAAAATCCCCAAATTCAAACCCTAAATCGTTAATCGTGAATAGGAGGGAAGCGCCTCCTCCTTCTCCGACCAACAGCAGTCTGCCGCCTCTCCCGTTACTTCTTCTTCTTCTTCGACCAGACTTCTAGCCTCCATCCGCTTTAGCTTCCTCCACCTTCCTCGCACTCTCCGAGCTGATAGGTACCACAAGAGAAGCTGTTAGAATGGATCTGAACATAAATCTATGCCCGATTGAAATCGGAGAATACGAGAGTCCAAAAGGCGCTATCTGCCAGAGAAATTATATATAAGTGAGTACATGAAAGCCATTATCAAGCGTTTAAGACAGATGACCGGAGAATCCACAAGAAGACGAACCGATCGAAAGAGAGGCGGACTCTTGAGGATGGACGATGGCGGGGGGATGTGAATAAGGATGGCGATTCGGGACGTGACGGAGAATGGCCGCGGCGGTAGTGGAGTGAAAGAGGTGGGTCGGAGAACTCAAGTAGTGGCGGAGGAGATTTGCGGTGGCGAACTCGCGATGGAAGTGGGAATTATCGGAGGAAGTTAAATTGATCGGCAAAAAAATAGGGGTTTCTTTCATTGTTTTATTTTTTTAGTTTTTTTTTCATGTTTTAATTTTTAAATGACGTGGACGAGTGTAGTGAGCAACAAATGCTGAGTCATTGACGCAAAAAATGGTTGACCGTCAATTATGACGGTCAAACCGTCTCTCAGGCCAAATCTGTCTAATAATTTCAAAAGTAGGCCGTAAACGTCTTATTTAAAAAATGGGGCCAGAATTGTCACTAACGCTAAGCTAAACTTCGGGCCAAATTAGGGTATTAACCCATTTCTTTTAATGGACGTGTGCATAGGCCATAGAGTCATAGAGCTGGACCCGGTGGAAGTATTACGCGGCATTTGCTTTCCCGCCGTTTGCCCTCCATTCCATATAAACCGTTTCCCGCCGCCAAATCCACCACTAGCAAACACCATCCCCACCCACCCCCGCTGCTTCACACTCCCTCATCGCCACTCTTTACCTCTTTCTCTCCAAATTCCACACCCTCGATTCAATTTTTCGCGGCGGGACTGAATTCCATTCGCCGACGATAGGCTCGCGGCGGAGGAAATAAACAAAATCCCGTTCTGCTTTTGCAATCCCTTAGATCGGAAACCTAAATGGCCGGAACTCCGGTCACGTAAAATCACCTCCAAGCCTGCGATCGACGGTGAGATTTCTTGCCTCCGTACTCGGCTTTCTCCTTTGCTCTTCTTTTGTGCTTTAGTTTCTGCTGTTTGTTTGAGGATGTGATTTTAGCCACTGTTTGAATACGGAAATTTTATGCTCCGCGGGGAAATTGAGGAAGTTGAGAGGCCCTCCCTTAGGTTTTGGCTGGATCATTGTGTGTATACTGTTACTAGTTTCATTGTTGTGGAATTAGGGATTTCAACAATCGAACTGGAATTAGACCCTATAGGATTTTTTTTGATAATAGACCCTATAGGATTTTGGTTTGACTTGACTGCGCGTTCTTGTGTTCCGGTTAGTAAGAATCTATGTTACTGTTGTTGATGTGTTTTATCAGTGTTTTTATGCTTTAGGAATCAATGAGTTGGACGGTTAATTAGTGGTGACTTTTGTTTCTCCTACCTAATTCGAATAAGGTTATGCGGATTTGAGGGTACCTCTTCACAGGAGAAGCTGATGTCAATCATTTGTCTGACGATGCTGGATCATATGAGGAGATCTATGTGCCACCATTGGACTCTGATTATAATAGTTTCGATACTGTTCCGCACCGCAATGACCATTTCATGCTGAGCTGTCAATGTAGTTTTGTTGAATTTCAGTTGCATTTTTCACATGGTGAGACATGATTATAGGTGGGATGCCCGTGGATGCTGACTTTTCGTGGTTTTTAAAGGGTAAAGGAAAAGCCAAGTTGGCCATTCTTGATGGCCAGGGGAATGTTCTTTCTTCAAGCAAACCTTCTGGTGCTCGTATAGATAATACAGAGCCTTCTACAGAACCCACCAATGAACCTACGGCATCTCTGACCTTGGCCAGATCTCAAACCGCTGGGGCAAGAAAGAGGAAACACAGATCAGGGAGGAAGATGGGCAAAGATAGCTCAGAGCCTCCTCTACTGTGGGAAGTTTGGGAGGGAGAGCACAAGAAATGGCTCGATGAGAACTGTGTTGCAGATATGGATTTAGAACAACAGAATGGTTTTGTAGCTGAAGCTGCTGAGGCACCATCAGAATAGGTTATGCCTTTGTTAATGTACCAGAAGGAGTGGTTGGCGTGGGCTTTAAAACGGGAAGACTCTTCAACAAGCGGGGGAATTCTTGCTGATGAGATGGGTATGGGGAACACTATTTAGGCAATTTCCCTTGTACTTCCCTGGAGAGATGCACCGAAAAAGTTTGTAAAGTTGGGACTTCGACATCTGGTTCTAGCGCTGGTTCATCATCTGGAATCAAAACTACCCTCGTTGTCTGTCCTGTGGTATAGCTGTAACTCAGTGGGTGAGTGAAATTGACCGTTTTACTTAGAAAGGAAGTGCTAAGGTTCTCGTTTATCATGGTGCAAATAGAGGAAAATACTACAAGCACTTTGCAGATTATGACTTCGTCATTACCACATACAGTGTTAATGAGGCTGAATTTAGAAAGTATATGATGCCACCTAAGGAACAATGCAGTTACTGTGGGAAGTCATTTCATGAAAATGAATTGTGGATTCATCTTAAATATTTCTGTGGTCCTGGTGCCATCAGAACTGCAAAGCAGTCTAAGCAAGAGAAGAAAAAACTTAAATCTCAACTGGAAAAAGACCAGCAGGAAAGTGTGATGGATGTTCAAAAGGGTGACTCATCTCCAGGTTATAAAAGAAAAGGGGGGTCGGAGAAAATCGACAGGGAGTAGTGAACTAGGGTACTCGGAAGCTGGGCTAGTATTGAGGAAGAAAAGCTCAATCCTACACTCTGTCAACTGGCAGCGTATATTGGAGGAGGTCAGTTGGCAATGACAGTAGTAGCTTTCATTTGAACTTATTAGTGTTCTAGTTTGAGAGTTTTTCATTACTTCCTGGTTTGTTAAATGATTACTGTTAGCTTTGATTCAATGCGATATGGTGGTTCTATTTGACATGGGTTGAGTGGATTTTTCAAGATCATCTGTGGCTCAAAGTTTAGGTAGTGCCTATCTTTGTAGTCTGTCTGTTTAGTTAATAGTATCTACTGTTTTTTTTTTTAATGTCTGTTCTGTTTCCCCCTAAACCTTATTTGATTTTTCCTTTTGTTCTTAGTTTAAGGTGACTTTGTTCATCTCAATTTTATCGTTCTGAGGTAATGTCAACTAATTATTTGTGTCTAGCTTCTGGCCCCATTCACTTTCTAATAGAGGTCCATTTCTCCCTGTCTTTTCCTTTAATAATAAGAACAGGGACATTTTATAAAAGACAGACGTTGCAATACTGCAATGGCCATTTTTGCTTTAGACTCTTTGTTCAACTGGGCTCTGACTGGTACCCCCTTTAGAACCGTGTTGGAGAGCTTTACTCTTTGGTGAGTTGATACTTTTTTCAAATTTAACATTGATAATCCTTTCAAGCTATATACAACTTAATGTTACTGCATTTCTTGATCTCAGGTGCGGTTCCTCCATATTGTACCATATTCATATTACTTCTGTAAGGACTGTGATTGCAGAACTCTTGATGATGGGTATGGCTTGTGACTTGATGATGTTTGACAATTCCGTACTTAGTTCTTTGATTTTCTGAGTTAACTATACCCTGGCACTGCAATAATTTTGTTATTCTCCTTTCACTTATGATGTAGATATACTGCCTTGAATTGAATCGTATACCATGTCACATTATTTTCCATCACTGGAAATGGTGCTGGTTTTGTAAACCGATAAGACATCCACACTTAACTTTCATCTTCTTTGCAGGTCATCAAGTCAATGCTCTAGTTGTGCTCACAGTTCTGTGAGGCATTTCTGTTGGTGGAATAGGGTGAGTTTTACATATTTATTTGCTCAGTATTGTCATATTTTCTATCCCCCTACCCTAACTTGTGCTTGTTTTTTTCTTTTCTTCGTTAGAACATTTCTAACCCAATACAATCCTATGGAATCTTGATAATGGGAGGAGAGCTATGGTATTGCTGAAACATAACGTTCTGAAGAACATAGTGCTAAGGCGAACCAAAAAAGGCCGAGCTGCTGATCTGGCACTTCTGCCAAGAATCGTAAGTTTCTCTTTGATGGGGTTAACTTCACCTCTTCTCTTGCCAAGATTTAAAAATTATAAAATATATATCATTTGTTGTCACTGCTTTCTATGTTAAATTGAGGCGAGATACCCAGGATGTTAAGGAAGAAGACTATTATGAATCGTTATACAATGAGAGTCGGGCACAGTTTAATCCATATGTTTGATTCTGTTTTTGTTTTCCTGCTTTCTTGGAATGCAATTTCCTTTTCTTTTTATGGTTCCATCCTACTGGATATAATTGTTGTGGCGAATACAAATAGTAATAGTTCTTGGTTAACTTCTGTCACAGATATATCCAGGCTGGAATTGTGATGAATAACTACGCGCATATATTCGACCTCCTCACTCTCTTTCGCCAGGTAATTTGCTGTCCTAGGTTATTATTAGTTCACTCGATTATCTTATGTTACCAAAATGATTAAATTTTGTTGCCGTATCTTGGTTACTAATTCTTGGAATCCCTGTGCAAACTACAGGCAGTTTGATCATCCATATCTTGTGGTATACTCCACAACGGCAACACAGAAATGCAAACGCACGGGATACTAATGATACTGAACAAGTTTGTGAAATTTGTCACGATTTGGCAGAAGATCCCATGGTGAGCTGCCATGCATTGGCGTGTGATAGAATGTCTTCTGCATGCAGAACTTGTAGATCTTCATGCTTGCTTTACTTAATTCACTTTTGTTGTTATTTCAGGTCAGCTCCTGCGAACACATCTTCTGCAAGGCATGCTTGCTCGATTTCTCGGCGTCCTTGGGGCAAGTCTCCTGTCCTAACTGCTCTAAACCACTTACTGCGGACTTCAGCACAAAGGCTGATGGTGGTGAATCTCAGCTCCGAAAAATTACCTCCGTCAAGGGTTTCAGATCAAGTAGTATTCTCAACAGAATACATTTGAACGATTTCCAGACCAGCACAAAGATAGAGGCTTTGGTACGTGTTAAGTTGCTCTAAATATGCATTTGACTTTTGCCTCTGTTGTTGAGAAAGTAAGCCAATCTTTTTCCTCCTGAAATTTTTATGCCTCCAGGGGGAAGAAATTAGAGATATGGTTGATAGGGACGGTTCAGCGAAAGGAATTGTTTTCAGCCAGTTCACTTCATATTTGGATCTCATTCACTACTCCCTCATCAAGGTAAATATATTCTATCTGTATTTCCTTTGTGATAAGAAAAAGAGGAAATTGCCTAAGAAGTTTCGAAAAACCATATGCAGTCGGGGGTGATTTACTGAGGATCCAGACTGCAAGATTTTCCTCATGAGTCTGAAAGGTGGAGGCGTTGCCCTCAATCTAACAGTAGCATCCAATGTAAGTGGCTTCTATTCTAGCCCGAGCCACCTCCTAAACAGCTTTGGACACATTTGTTTGCAGCTCTCTATTGTCTTCAATGTTTGTGTTAGTTCATGGCTGATTGTTGTTGATTGGAAACGTGTAGGTTTTCTTGAGGGACCCTTGGCGGAATCCATCCGTGGAGCTGCAGGCACAGGATAGAATCCACCGCATTTGGACAGTACTACCCTATCAGGATTGTGAGATTTATAATTGATAATACAGTTGAGGAGAGGATTCTGAAGGTGCAAGAGAAGAAGGAATTGGTCTTCGAGGGGTGAGAATTTTCCAATTTCTTCCGCTCTATTCATTACTTGGCTTGCACTCCACGCTTCCTCCCATTATGATTACCTCCCCTTGCAAATGCTTTGCTTGACGGCGTCTTTTATTCGCAGGACCGTGGGTGGTTCGTCGGAAGCCCTTGGGAAGTTGACAGACGCAGATTTAATGTTTCTGTTCCTAAACTAACTCTGCGCATTGAAAGACTAACAGGGAATCAACTAAGATGTAGGGGGTGTCCCGGGACACCCCTAAAATTTGGGGAAACGATTATTCAACCTCCGGTAGTAGTTTCATATGGGTATACAAAATATAGTTGGTAATCCGGGACACCCTAACATTTGAAAAAATGATTATCCTACCCTCGATAATAGTTTGCTTATGATTAACAAAATATAAGTGGTAGTCCGTGTTATTCCAACATAGGACACTACTATTATCAAACATATTCTAATTATGTTACTACTCATTTGTTATTATATTTTAAACATCATGCAACAGTAAAATGATATTTCTTTATCCCCAACTATTTTCAATACCTAATAATTAAACTACGTACACGCTACCCTTAATTTTGAATTGATTTTATGGTTACACGGCAAGTGTTGAAAGAGTCTTTTCTACTTTGAGCTACATTAAAAACAAGGTTAGAAATCGAATATGTGATAAGTTCGTGAAGTATTGTCTAGTAGGATATGTAGATTTTTTTGAATAGTGTAGATACGGAGTTTATTTATATTACTTTTTCAAAATATGAAAACACATAATGAATTTTAATAAAAAATTTATACAACTATGATATTTTTAATATACGAATTATTTAATTTATTATTTAATTAAATTTAACTTTTGAAGAGGATACCCCTATAAAAATTTTCTGAATCCGCCACTGCATACTGTACATGTGACATCATCCTTTGTTGTGCACATGGTTGTCACGCATGTGTAATTCTGTAAGGTGGAACCTGGTTGCACGGGTGTCGGTCATGAAGTAGGTGTAAACATCATTGGTATGAGTGACATCTAAGCAATATGACAGTTGTAGTGAATTTAATTAATATATTATTTAGTTTGTGAATATAAAAGTTAAATGTTGATGTTATTTTTTAGATTCAAGTATAAATGTTTAGACATTAACGTTAAATGTTCCTTTTAAATATGAATAATTATTATTTTATTTAGAATGTCATATTTTATTTAAATATGAAGTATATTAAATAATTATCTTCAAATATATTAAATATATGAATAAATTTTGATTTTTCACATTTCTATATATTTTATTTAAACGACATGAACGGACACAATCCAATAATATCACTCCTCAAATTATTTCAATTGTTAAACCAAACCACCGGTATAAATCAAAACGTCATTCATTTATTTGTCACACATTGGAACCAGAACCTAATCGAAACGAGCCCTTCTACATTTCTCTGGGACCAAGTCCGTCTACATTTCTCTGCTCCAAACTCCGGTTCCTGTCTGCATTCTGCGCTGTTTCTTTTCTTCAAACCTAGGGAGAGAGGGAGAGAAAGACAGATGATACAGCTTCTCTACGGGGTGATCTTCGCCGAGATGGCGTTGATCCTGGCGCTGCTCTTCAAGACGCCGCTGCGGAAGCTCGTGATCATGGCCTTGGATCGGGTCAAGCGAGGCAGAGGCCCCGTCATGGTCAAGACCGTCTCCGGGACCATCTTCGTCGTCCTGCTCTCCAGCCTCTACAGCATGGTCAACATTCAGAACCGCTCCATCGAGGCTGGTGCTCCCAATCCTACCGACCAGGTTCTCATGTCCCGGCACCTGCTGGAGGCCTCTCTTATGGGTAAACCTCTCGTTTCTTCTCTCTTCTTCTCTGAATTTAGTGTGATCGCCGTTTGTTCCATCATCTCTGTGGGTGCTGTCAATTACATTTCCTCGGCGTCGTTGATTCTGTGCGGTTGGGAATTGTCGCTGCTCAATAGATGGTGCATTATGGGATTCGTGATTGACTCGCGGTTTAGATGAATCTGTAGTTATTGCTTCTTCAATATTGGTTATTTCTCTGTTACTTGCTGAAGAAGGGGGGGAATGTCGCATTGCTCTCGTCTTGCATTTTGGTCTAGCGATTGGAGATGGTTTGGTGCAATTGTTTTGCATTTGGTGGAATTCAACATTCGGGAAATGTTCCTCCTTAGTTATGAATCGATTTATGCCCGCCTAGTTTGATTTGGGTATCTCAATTGCTAATCTGTTCTGTGGCTTCTGTCAATAACCGTGCTCTTGAAAGAAATGATGGCATTAGCTTGTAGGAAGAAAAGCAAAGATACTTGACGTGTTTTCCTGGAAAAGGAAATTCCATATATGTGGATTTGGTCGGGGTACGGTTGCTCCCTCTTCCTTAGGAAGGAGGGTTTGATTAGTTTGCTGTTAGCATCTTTCTATCTTCAGGCAGTCATTAGGGTTTATGCAGCAGTATGCTTTAGAGTACCCTATTCACGACCGCGGATCTTCCATAAGAATTCTCATCCATGTTGCACATTAGGAGAAAGACATATTATTGAGAACATGTTGCATTCGCGATTCAGTAGATGAATAATGTTCTCTTATAGTTCTGAGCTTCCAAATCAAGTAATTCATTCGATTCTCGTGTGCAGGATTTCTGCTGTTCCTCGCACTGATGATTGACAGACTACACCACTACATCAGGGAGCTTCGTCAACTGAGGAAGACAATGGAAGCTGCCAAGAAGCAGACCCGAGGCCTCGATGATGGTAAAACTGGCACCAGTACAGAAGATGTTAAAGCACTTGGCGAAGAGGTTGCTACTCTGCGCAGTAAGGTGAAGAAACTGGAGGCCGAATGTGAAGCCAAAGGAAAACAGGCAAAAGCCTCCGAAGAGGAAGCAGAGGCTATTAGGAAACAATCGTAAGGTTCGTGTCTTGAGAATGGTCGACCGCAAGAAGACAACCAAAGCCTTCGCAGCCGGATTGAGTCGATAGAATCTGGAGGGCAAGAAGGATGTGTAATTCCTGATTGAAGAACTTTTAACCATGTTTGATTCAAATTCTATACTATTACCCTGCAGATAACTCGAATAGGTGGTTATTAGGAGCATTGGAAGCCTAGAGGGTTTCACTTGTTGAAGTTATTACATTGTTACCTTGTTCCAGTGCACAAAGGTCGTGAAGCCAAACGGAATTAAGAATGAACGGCATGGTTTACAATTTTTATTCAGAGTAAGAGCTGCTGATTGACAATTTTGTAGGCACATTGATGTCTGATGTTCTGTTATAACTTTGTTGCTGGAACTTTCTGGGTTCAAAAAACAAGCCTCTCAGACGTTTGTTTCTTTTAATTTGGAGAACTTTATATCTTACATCAAATGCATTATTTCTTATAAAATTTCTCATAATACATATGTTTTACTCGTCGCTTTCCAGGCCAACGATCAATGGTAAATACTAAATAGCACCTATGTAAAGCTATCAAACACGAAATCGCGTATGGGGATAGTGATTTGCACTTCAATTGCCTGGGAAAGAAGCAATCAAATCACATCGCTTTATCATAAGTGACCAAGCAAAATCAGTGTTGTTTTCAGCGAGTATCTTTCACCATGAGGATAGGGTTAGGTGCAGCTGTTTCGGCCTTTGGGTGGGTGGGCTAGTCAACACCTTCATCGCTTTTGCGCCAAGCAATAAAGCTAAATCGCTTTTTTTTTATCCGCGTTAACATTTCGCCACGAGGATAAGGATAGGTGCAATGGCCTATACATTTTTGATCGCTTTCATCAAAATCGATCTTAGTGTAAATCGCTTCGTCCGAAAGCGATCGCTGTTCAATCTGAGTGGTATAAATTGACGACTCTTCCATCCTTTCATCTCACTCTCATTTTCCCTCTTCTCCACAATACTTGCAGAAACTCTGATGGCTGCACTAGAACTCCATTCCCTTGTGACTATAAGGTATGTTTGAGTGTGTTTAGTATGCTCATGTTTAAGTACTAATGTGTTTATGTTTCACTAATTATGGTTAGTGTGAATCATATTTAAGTAGTTATGTGATTGTGTTTAGTATGGTGATTGTATGATGGATTATTGTTTTGGATGTTGTATTTGAGCGTATGTTATGGTTTTGGATGAATTTGTTTAGTTTACTAATGTGAATGTCAAAGTAGTTCACTCTTTGTGTTGCTCTAATTATGGTTAGTGTCAATTATGCTAAATATTTGGATTAAAGCTGACTGTATGATGGATTATGGTTTTGGATGTTGTATGTGATTCCTAAGTATTTAAATTTCATATATGATCATACGGGTAGATTTATTATTTAGTGGAATGGTCGGGTGACAAACTCCCACAAATTATCGATTATTAAGATGGCGAATCCAGTATGTTGAAGATGGAGAATTGGAGATCAGAATTAAGTGGCAAGAACTCTAAGACATTTTTGCATATAGGATTTGTACGAGGTGCAGACAAGAATTTGTAAAATTACTTACTAATATGAAAACATCAGTGGAGGCAGTGTCATGTACGAAGAACTTGTCATATCTTACAATGATGGCGGTTAACATGATGTTGCACTTCCTAGCTGAAAACAAGATCGGCCTTGCAGTGATTTATGTTGAGATTCAGGATGTCGGTCAGGGTGGAGCCAGTTATGGCTATGATGATAGTGAAACCTCTTCTCACCACCATTCTTAACGTGATGGTGTTGCAAGAGGGTACGAATGTGGTAGTTATTCAAGCAACTATGAAGGAGGCAGTTAGGCAGGCAGTGGTGTGAGAGATGGGGTACCATGAGAAAAATATACTCATCGTGTTAGTTATGTTGAGCTTGACCCATTTGTTGAGTCTGATGGCATTCGACGGCCGGCTTGTGGTATAGATTGGACTGACAATGAAAATAACATTCGAGCATCTAGGTGATCTACACAGAATTGAGATGATGTGGTTAGCGATGATGGTCATAAGAATCCCACTGCCGAGATGTCGAGTTACCCATACGAAAACGACGAGGGTAGTGAAGATGATTTGAGATATGTGAGTGAGGAAGAAGACATGGACAATGAGGTGGGGGTTCAGGAGTCACTTACTCCATACTACACTAATATTCCTAATCATCTCTTATATGCTTATAACGAAGATCCCGACTTCCTCCCTACGCTAGTGTGGAATACGACGACCAATTTGGAGGTGGGTATGTCATTTTCCACCAAAGTTGTCGTTAGTGATGATTTCAGAGAGGAAGCCATGCTGCGGAATTATTAGAGTGGAAGATCAAAGATTCTGACAAAAAACAACTCTATTTCATATGCGAGAATGCTGGAGACAAATGTCAATGGGAGGTTCGACCTGCATGGGTAAATGAAGGTAGCATGTTTGAACTTTGTTTGAACTTAGGTTTGAGTTGCATGCATGTGAAGCTAACATAGAATAATGATTATTTTGTCGTAGGCTCTACATGTTCGAATAAAGTTCAAACATGTTTTGAGCATAATCATCCAACTTTGTGCAAGAACTTTTCAACCAAAGGAACAAATACTTATCAATAAAATAACTTTGTGAATGTATAAAGGGGATGTAGCTCAAATGGTAGAGCGCCCGCTTTGCATGCGGGAGGTACAGGGTTCGATCCCCTGCATCTCCACTGGTTTTTTTAGTTATCTCTCTATATATATGCAAGACGTTGCATTATTGGTAGTGTTTCTCCAATTAGCACTAGCAACAGGCCCGTCCCGTTCGGCGGGTAATCTACGCACAATCGTATTATTTGATAAAAATTGAAATATAAACCCAATTGATAATAGTTCATTGTTTTGGTAAATTTTGCAATAAAATCGTGTTTGTACAAAAGTTTAGCCCAAAAAAGTGTGTCATTAATACCTATGAAAGTTTTATCTAAATATTGTTGCAAGCAAGTGTTTATGGGATAAGCTGAAATTAAACTATTCAAGCGGATAGAGCAACTTAATGTTTATTATGAAGATGAATTAAAAGAATTGATTTGTAATTTTACAAACAATAACAATAATATTATATGAGATGATGGTAAAAGAAATGTGTTGAAAAAAATGTTATATGAGATGAATGTAAAAAAAAGTAATAGGAAATAAACACTTGGCTATCAATCCAACATTCTGATTGATTTCCAACCCACAAAAGAATGGGCGAATACTGGACCACCAGATTGAATGGCAGGGAAGTGGAACCAAAGTCGAAGCTTGTATCCGTCCTTCACCAACAATCGATTGACTTCCTTTTGGTTTCTAATCCTATCTGAGATTCTCAATAGTTCCACTTCATCTTCCCCGGGTTCCCCAGTGATTCCTTCTAATCCTATCTCTTCATCCTCACCGATCTGAGAATCCCTAGCACCATGCTCGACCTGTTGGCTGGGGATTTTGATTATTATGTATGTTGTATGTGTTGTAACCACTTATAATGTGTAAATAGTGAAGATTATTATGCATTTTTATGTGTTGTTACTTTTTATAATTCGTGTAAATAGCAAAGATATGGAACTCATAGCGATATATATGTTTACAAATAAAGCATTTATAATTGATATGTGATATAGTCCAACATATCAATGAGCATGTTTTCCAATATTTATCATATTTGTTGATCACGAGACAAGTTATAGATATAAAATTCCATGATTTGAAAGGGCACGTTGCTGATTGATAGCAAAAAACGAATGACCTAAAATGACAGGTAAATTGTCTAAATTACCCTTCCGTGAAACCCTCACAAGCCCGGAAATTCAAATTCCAGGAATCCAACCCATGTTTTGCCTTTATATATTATGTAGAAATATAATAACTTAAGACAAAATATAAATATAGAAGCATCATCACCAAACATATTCTTAGTGTTTAATCAAAGAAACAACAATAAATAAAATGTAGCCTAGTTGGTTATAATGTTGTTTCGTCATTTAAGTGACAAAAGTTCGAACTCTAATGATAACATTTTTAATATATAAACATGAACTGGGTGCAATGACAAAAATGACCTTCCTAAAATCACTATAAGACCACGAAATTTGAAAGGGGAGAATTCCAACCCATGTTTTGCCTTTATGTATATTTTCGTGGATAAAATTCTAAAGTAATGAGCAACTGTAACCAAACGAAAATGTTCTGATAATCTGTCGATCCGATGTAGATGAAGAAATCCTACCCACTACTATAAAGTATTAAACATAAGTTTTCGCAGGGGCAGGGTTACATTAATTAGCAACAACTCTTAATTAGCCATCAATATCTCCATGTTTCGGCGGATTAAAATAATCACATATCTAACCGTAGTAATAGGTTAGCGTGGTTATTTAATTTTTAGTAATCACGGTGGCTACCAAAATCTATATCATTCATTATCTTTATTTCACCTTGTTTGTAAATTGACGGTGAAGATTAAATTAAGGATAATTTTGAAATGAAAAAAAATACCACACCTGATTACTCTATATATTACACTCAAACCCTAATGCAACCTATCTCCATAATCGTTGTCGCTCTTCCCTCCCCCACCCCCTCCCTCCGCCTCGCCTCACCATCCCACCCGCCGCCTACCACAATCACCCGCCGTTACTGCCTATTGCTACAGGTGGTAGCAGCTCTATTAGCATCGTCGTCAAAACCCGTCGCTGGCGATCAACGCAAGCTGATTGCCAATGGCTTCGGCATGACTCCTCTCATGGGGTATGTACTTGCCGATCTCTCACTCTTATACTTTTACCTACTTTTACATCTCCAGATATGATTTCTCAACTGGCGCCAACCATTTCCAATTCCAGATCTCCTTTCATATTAATCATACATACTATTAATTATTGCTTCCATCTTCTCTTGTTATGGTATATATAAATTGTTTATATTGGTAGTATTTTTTTCCATAATGGTAGTATTTTTTGCATTGGTATTGCTTTTTCCCGCATTGGCATTGATTATCATATAATGGCATTAATTTGCATGTATTGGTATTGATTATATCTGCAATGGTATTGGTGTTTTGTGAAATGATAGTACTTTTATTTCTCAAATGGTATTGGCGTTTTGTGCAATGATAGTGTTTTTTTTAATGGATTGGTATTAATTTATTGTTTTGTTGTTGCAACGGTATTAGTCGGCTGAACGAAATCAATGAAAAGATTGGGAAAAAGAAGAAAGAGAGATCTGACGGAAGATTGTGGAAGTGAGAGAAAGAGAGAGAAATGTGAATTTAATATATTTAGGTAACTTTTTAAAATGTAATTTATTAAAAAAGGAAATTACTAAATATTGTTTTGTATGCCCAATTTGTAGGGGCCTCAATCTGGGAGCGGTTACGGTGAT